GGGAGCAAGTGGATCCCCGCAGCGGGAGAGAGAGATTTTTCCGTCAGCCCTTCGAGAAGTGCGCTTTCTCCAAGACAGTCCCCTCCTGATACACACGTATCAGACTAAGAAACCAAAAATTTGATTTTCACTTCCAAAGATTCATTGACACCCACAAGGTGTCATACCATAGAAACTGATTCCAAGAAAACAGAAAGTTTCCAAAACTTAGTAACATCACTGATTACACCAGCAACTGATAATTCAGTTAGGCTGTTATGGTACTGACTGGGAAAGTCTTTTCATACAAACATCACAGGACTTTGAGATTACGGTCCAAGCCAACACCATGTAACCCTATAAAAATCTAAACACAGCAGTAACAATTTAGAAATCAAGTACTATACAGGTATGCAGAGAGCTGGCAAAAGGGGACGCCCATGTTGTGACAGATACAAGCACAAAATATTTAAAAGACTGATGAGTAATTTTGGCCAGGAGACAACACAAGATTGTTACATTTTACAGACTAGGCATGTAATAAATGAATAATTTGCTTAAGCAGAATTGTGCAGTGGTGTATGTATTTAATTGGAGGAGCCAGAAGAACTGACAGTCAGAAAGGTATTTATAATACAAAAAGCCATTATATATACATATACACACATGGAATATATCTATATATCTATATAGATATATAAAAATCAGTAAACTTAAGATGTTCTTGATAAAGGCACTATTCAAGGCATTCAAACATTTTACTACAACATTGACTCAACTTATCTTTTTGCTTTGGCTGAATTAAAGCAAACAGATTAAAGGTCTGTTCTAAACCACCAAAAACATCTGACACCAAAGCCTAACAGTATCTTGGGCGACTGCAGCATTGCCTAAAAACCCGCCCACTGCACTGCCTATTAGCGGAATAATATTGAAAGGAGTCTAAATAAACCATTCCCACTCACAGCTTTGCAACAGCAGAAGATAGATCAGTCTCAAAGAGACTTTCTAGCCATATATTCTATAGATTCTATTACAAATCAAGGATAGAAATGATACAGCAAGAGGGCCTGCCCTAGGATAGAATGACATGGAATATCAAATAGTATTTACAGTACAGTTATAGGTTTATAGAACATTTTATAAATACAATTAATATGTATACAAGGGCACATAGAAGAGCAATTTGTTTTTATGCTTTACAAAGTGAATGCAACCCAAAATAAAACTTACTGCAGAATTTCACAGCTGCTGGTTAGAAGCCTCTCTTCCCAACTGCCTGTACAAACCAATCCCCATCACAGGTCACCAGTGAAACACCCATGTTTTAAGCAGCAGCTACGAAGAATCTCAATAGACTCTGAATCTATGTACGAAACATCAAGTTTCAGAACACGGGTAAGGCAGAGCACCTTGGAGTTGTGACATTCGTGTGTAACTTTCTCGGAGAACTTGTGGACTCTAACACTGCATTTTTGCAAGGAGATATATAATAATGTAGCATATAGGTGGTGAAATTCAAACAAGGTATATTAGAACTTCTAACGTAAGATAATAAAATGCCAGAAGCATCTAGCCAATTCTAAAGATATTAGCTCTTCCTATATTTTAAAATGGTAAAATAATATTTAATTTTTCAGTACTTGCACATGTCCTTAAAAGACTCAATGATTTCCTTTAATAAAAGCAATTGGTTTTGCTTGTAGAGAACCATGGTACCTTTAAAGGATCCTTTTTTTGATAAACAATCCTCCCCCACTAATCAAACCCCCCCCCCCCCCCCCCCCCCCCCCCCCCAAAAAAAACACTGGCTAAAGTTATAGTGTTAAACAGGAATATACCATAGTACAATGCAGGAAGAGCAGAGATATATTCAGATAAAAAGGCAATTTTAACAGCCAATTTAATGAGTAATTGACATTATTTTCTCTGCACACTTCATAAAGGCCAAGGTATGCTTGACTGAATTATCTTTAACCAGTAATATATTATACTTCACTCCAAGAGAAGTAGACCAGTTTTACTGGGATATTTACTATGAAAGAGGATAATCTTTAAAGTTTATTTACATGGAAAACCCTCATATTTTTACACCAGGTACAAAATGGAGTAGTTACACACTGCAGCCATTTTATAATATTTAAGCTAAACAAAATGAATCTTAAAAGCTATTCTATTTCAATAGCTGTGGATCAGGCTAACAAAACATGAATTATTTTGTTAGGCTACAAACCCATTTTCAATATGGGAAGTAACTTATCTGCTTGAGAAAATTACTTTTCATAACCATCTTCTAACCATGATAAGCACTTCACAGTAGAGAACATCCACAAGTGTTTTCTCCTGTGACCAAGTCTGTTTAAGAAGTTTCCCTGCTCCCAGCCTTCTTCACTGCAGTTCACCCCTTCCCTCAGCCACACCAATATAAACTATTTTTTGAACCACGCCAAAAACTGGATCGCTCAAATGAACACGCTTCCAAGGGAGAAGCCTCCAAACGCTGAACACCAAGCAGCTTTCCCACTGCTCCAGTTTTTCCAGCTGCCTGGGCACAGACAGACACTGAACCAGAGCACGGAAGGCAACGCATGGCCAGGAGCACACAACAATTTTTTAAACCAGCTTGGTGGGAAAAGTAAACTAGGAAGTGGTGTTTGCTGCAAGAACACCTATGAACACAAATTTAATGTTTAGATAGTCACAATGCCAGTGCAATGGCACAAATAATAGTTTAAGAGAGTTGTAATGCTTACAGGCACATTAGATTACCCATTGGAATTCAATTCCAAGGAGAAGGAAATGTTTTAAAAGACATGAAGTTTACTAAAAATAGTGCATTTTCTTTACCACTGTGTTAGCTTTAGGAAAAAGGAGAGAGATATATTTAAAAACCCCACAATTCGGCCTCTCACCTTTACTCCTGGTCTTGTCTCAGAGAAGCTGCTTAGCAGGTTGCCCCCCTCCCTGTCCAGGTCTGCTCAACCTGCTGTGAGAAACTATGCAAACAGTAGCACAGAAGGCAGCAGACACAGCCCTAAGTTCATTGTGAAAGACAGACCACTGACACTGTCCTGATGGCTCAGAGGGGACTGGTGCATGGCATTTCTCCTGGCTGGCTGTGTAACTAGGAGGAAACCTGCTAAAGGCAAGTGAAACTGGTCTCCACAACAGGCTCAAAAGCCATAATTTATAATCTTTTCCCATTACTATCTCAAACATAATAAAGAAACTATTCTAAATTTTATTTCCAAACTAAATATTCCATCTAAAGTAGAACTGTACATACTTTACAGTTTGGTAACTCAATTTCAGAAATCATATTTCCTAAAGCTTCTTTTCCTTTTGTAACTATAGGAAAACTGATGACAGGAGATAATCAAGTTGGTTCTGAGTGAGCAGTCCCTCTGCTTTGACATCACCAGTGACATGCTACAGCATTACTAACATCACATTCAGTTACTATTTAATAGAATACTTGTTTAATGCTTTATCACTTTACAATGATACTACAGCCAAGAATGAAACTTTCTTGTTCCAAAGCTGAGATCTGTGCCACTACCACAGCAGCTGGAAACACTCTGCCAGATAGGCAGCTCAGTTTTTCCAACACTGAATAATTAGGCTAAATACAGTGAGAAGTGAGGGTACAGCAGACTCTTTTCTTATCTTCAAAAAATACATCAGGGAGCTTTATTATTGTAAAGTAGGTCTTATATTTGGACAATGCAAGGAAAAATGGTCATTAAGAGTTCTAAAGAAGAGATTCATTTTCTAAAATTATTCATTATGTGTACAAATAGATACCAGATAACAGCTTAGGGAAAAAACCAAGACACAACAACAAGCCACTACTTCCTACTTTGAGTACTTAGAGTACAGAGAACCAAACATAAAATTCAGGTGATTTTTTTTTCACCTAACATCAAATCTCTTCTGAATTAAACAATTAACAATGCTGGAATAAATTAATATTTGAGAATTATTTCACTGTATTCTGGGGAAACAAAATGTACAGAGAAGGAAATAGAAGACAATTTTCTTAGTGTTTAAAAAAAAAAAGCGTGCATGTATTTACCCTAGCAATTTTTTCTCAATTCTCTTAGGAGACTTTCCAAAAATTGCAGCTACAAAATAAGTTCATTTACGTTTTAATCTTCATTCCTCTACTAAACATAAACCAGGTCACGATTTTGGACTCCTCTACCTGCCTGTTCATCATCATCACCATCATCATCAGACTGCTGTTCTGAGTTTTGGGAACTACCATAATCATACTCAATGGGCTTTGGATTGTTGTACGGGTAGCCATTGTCATCAAAAAACCTTCGGAAGGTGAACTCATAAAAAGCATGTTCAGGATGTTTTCCGTTTTTGTACCACCCATTAAGCGTATCATTTCTGTTCCCTTCCTTATCGTCATCACTCCACAACTTATCTGGATCAACTGGGTCAAAGTTCGATGTGTCTGTCGGGTGAGCAATTTTGGGAATGTAGAAAGCAGACTGCCGCCGTAGATCGCTTGAAAAATCAATCGTTTTAAAAAACGGATGAGCTTTTATTTCATCCGCACCATTTTTGCCCAAACGATCTTCTGGCCCTCGGCAGAGTTTAATAATAAGGTCGGAGGCCTCTGGAGTCAGTTTAGCCTGAGGTGGAATATGAAGTGCAGTTTGCCAGTTGATAACCTTTAAAGCAAAACAAGGTGTTATTCTATTTACCATTTCATAAAAATGAAAAAAAAACACAGTGAAAATGAAAACAATAGAAGGACAAAAAAACCCACCCAAATGGCCACAAAGCAATCATTAAACATGTGAAGTTTTCACAATAGAGGGGAAAACATGAAGCTGCTCTTTCAGAAACTCAAGCAACATTTTATCTGGAGACCTGGCAAAATCCAGGTAAAATTTATTCCAATTCCACACTGAAACTAGTCTGGTCCAGATTATCCCTGCTATAAGCCAACAAACATACCACAAAATTCAGGAACCTCAAATTAGGCACATGGTTTACAATCTTAAGAAGGTGAAGCTAACAAATGTTATATATTTGATGCAATGGAGAGTTTAACAGATTTGAAGCTAAAATAAAAGCAAAAAACCCTCCCAAAAGCACCCAAACCTGCACTACATCTGAGCCAACTATTATCTTCCAAGCTGAATGCAATTTTGCAAAAATGGTTCCTGCAGAAGATTGCCCCAGTGGTTTCTCTGAAACAACAGGAGCTCAGGAAGTAAGGGACCAATGACTTGGAGCTGCCAGGAACCTGGAGCGGCCACAGTCATCTGCTGCTCCTCCACCTTTGCATGCAGAGGACCTGCAGATATATCACCAGAAGAAATGCTCTGCAGGTAAGCAGGGATGGAAGCCAAGTGGTGGGAAAAGAAAACCCAGATGCTAGGAGAACAAAAGAAAGTGGAAATGATAACTGGAACGGGAGCAAGAAGTGAAAGGGAATGGCTGAGATGTGATTTTCAGATGGCATATTTGCCGTATGACTAGATAAAAGACATGAACATGACCCTTGAAGTCCCTCTGCAAATTAAGCACACTAGAGTAATGTAAAATTCAAAGTCTTGTTCGTTTATAGTATGCTTGGACAGAGCAGCACGCTCAAAAGTCATCTTTGATCTGTCACAAACTACAAAGACTGTGTAGATTTCAAGCCATTTTCAGAATGTCAATACCAGACTTCTGGCGTTACCTTCATTTGTGTTTCCAGTGGCGTCTGTGCCAGGAAGGGAGGCTGCCCCACCAACATCTCAAAGAGAATTACTCCAACGCTCCACCAGTCACACAGCTGCGTGTAACCTGAAATGGGCCAAAACAAAGTAGTTAAAGCCTTCGTTTAACTTTAATCTTGTATTTCTAAGAATAAAAAAGGCACAAATTCTGCTCGATACTCAAGTTTCCCATATTACCAACTCTGTTTTTGTCCAGTGAGCGTACGCGAGGGGGAAGCGGCAGCGAGGGAGGGGTGAAGCG